CAGAACAAGTTCCTCGGTACCCATTTTGGGGAAGGGCTAAGAGAGAGAATCTTTAGAATGCCACAATTTAGGTGATTCCTCTTATTTTTTCCAGAAGAACTAGTATTGAGGTATGATTATGGATAACTTTGTTAATGGGCTATTGAGGGCTTATGATTAGTCTTACAGCTCTGGGTCTCTCTGAACTTTTATTCCTGATTTTTATATCCATGGGTTAATATTTTTGTGTGCATCATATAGATAAGGCCCTGTACACAGTTTGTTTTGGAGTTCCCTGGGTTGTAGCAGTCTTGATCAACTCAAAGTGAAAATTATTAAAATATTGGGTTATTTCCCCATAATTTAAAATAATTGTCTCTTTACTAAATATTGATGCAGATTCTCATAATGTTTGAACATGGATTTGTTGGCTATTCTCTCTTAGAATCTTTTTAAAAAGCTAATATCATCCAGGACTCATTACAGAGTAAAGCCACTTCTGTTAGCATCCTTTTTTTTGTTATTAATCTTCACCCAAGGATATTTTCCATTGATTTTTAGAGTGATGGGGGGAGGAGAGACAGAGAGAGGGAAACATCGATGTGAGAGAGACACATCGATTGGTTGCCTCCAGCAGGCACCCGACTGGGGGCCAGGGATTGAGCCTGCAACTGAGGTACATGCCCTTGAGCAGAATTGAACCCAAGACCCTGAGGCTGATGCTCTAGCCACTGAGTCACTGTTAGCACCCTTTCGGCAGGTTGCTAAGTGGGGAAGCAAGTGGTTTCTGGAACGCAGTGGAGCTCTTTCAGCTGAGGTCCTGGGTGCTCAGGTAGTCAGTTGACAGTGATTCCTGGCACGGAACAGGGGTGTGTGAAGTCTCCCAGGAGCAAACGCTGCTGGGGGCTTACTGCCTGCCAGAGACTGAACTTGAGGGTGTCAAGTTCACCCTTGCATCACCACATTGTATCTTCCCCTCTATCCTTGCCCCTGTCCCTTTTGTAGATGCATAATGTTGAAGTGACTGGGCAGGTTTCTCAGCAAGTGGAGTCAGAGGCTGAGTGGAAGGGCTGTGGAGCTGCCAGCGTGGGGCTGTGGGCTCATTCCCAGATACGCCCTCTCAGGCCATATTTCTCCACCTGAAAAGCAGGCTTAGCTAGGGCACTTCAGTGCATGCGGAACACTGGACAAAGTCCTGGCATATGATAAGGATCCCATCCATGTTGGCCATCGTTGTTGCACCTGCACTGCAGGCTACAGTGCATGCAGATGTGAAATGTAAGCAAAGCCAGACACTGGTTAAAGTGGTAAGGACAGATTTTAATCAGTAATAACTATTGCCACAGGGAAAAGAGTTCAACATAAACTGAATTCAACTTCAATTTGTACAGAGGTGAGTAGGAGTTTTAAATGGAGAAGGAGGAGTCGATAGGGGCCCAATAGGATCAGGGAAGGGAAAAATTATATAAAGTGGGAAGGGGGGCTGCCCTAGCTGGTTTGGCTCAGTGAGTAGAGCGTCGGCCTGCGGACTGAAGGGTCCTGGGTTCAATTCTGGCCAAGGGCACATGCCTGGGTTGCGGGCTCGATCCCCAGTGTGGGGCGTGCAGGAGGCAGCTAATCAATGATTCTCTCATCATTGATGTTTCTCTCTCTCCCTCTCCCTTCCTCTGTGAAATCAATAAAAATATATTTAAAAATTTTTTTAAAAAATAAAGTGAGACACATTTATAATACCTTAACCAATAAAGAAATTAAAGATAAAAAAAATAAAGTGGGAAGGGGGGATTGGTCCAAGTGGAAACCATCTGAGTTTGCTAACTGGCACTTATTGAAGTTAGACTCCCCACTCCCACAGAGACAGGGGTCCTATCCACAGGTGTCAGCTGGAACAAGCAGGACATTCTTTGGCGGCCTTAAGCATTCTCCAGGAGACACTTTAAGGGGGGCTAGGGTCATCCTAGGGAGGTAGCCATAAGGTTTTAGAAAATACGTTAGTGTTTATTCAGGTCTTTACAAGCCAAGGTTGAGGCCTGTTGAGAAGAGGGCTCAGAGTGTCCTGGCCAGAGTTGGGTCAAGGAGAGTCATCATCACAGAGCAACCAACACAGAACTCTCCCTTGTCCCCAAAGAGCATGTTCCTGAGCTGGGAACATGACCTGCATTGATGTTAACACCAGACGTGGTCAATGAGTACCCAGTGGTGACCCTGTCATTGGGTTTCTAGGACAGAAGGCTGGAGGGTGTGAGGTGTAGGTGAGCCTTGAAAGATGCTGGAATTTGGAATAAGTGAGGGGTCAAAGTGCTGGAGAGGAAAGGAGGCGGAAGGAGGGAGGATGGTGAGGTCCTCTTCTAAGAACAATGAATAGATCAACTTGTTTCATTGTTGGTACTGAGGATGGAAAGATGGAGGCATCAAAAATGAGGCTCAGGGCTCTAGTTCATCTGAGAAATAGTGGAGACTGGCAAAAGCTTTTGAGTAAGGGAGTGAGTGAGGTGAAGAAAGTGGGATTTTAAGCAGATTAGTGATAGTGGATGGAATGGATGAGTTTATTCCTACCATGGCCAAGGGGAAGCTAGTGCAATAACTCAAGCTTTTGTAGTGATAACCTCTTCCATGCATTAATCAATGTTCTACAACTGTTCTTATTGACCCTTCCTGCCTAAGTAATAATAGTGTTAATGATAATAACCTGTTATTATTATCTTAACATTTACTGTCTTTATGACAGGTGAAAAAACTGTGACATGGGTTAAGTGACTTGCCCAAGGTCACAGCTGTTAAATCCAGACGAAGGCACTCTAGCTTCCCAGCCCAGACTGTGACCCCACACTGTATGGTTTATTCTCCAATCTTTTCAAAAGCGCTCCATAAGCCTTTGACACATTTATTATAAGGCGTTAGTACAGTGGTTCTCAACCTGTGGGTCGCGACCCCTTTGGCGGTTGAACGACCCTTTCACAGGGGTCGCCTAAGACCATCTTGCATATCAGATATTTACATTACAATTCATAACAGTAGCAACATGACAGTTATGAAGTAGCAACGAAAATAATTTTATGGTTGGGTCACAACATGAGGAACTGTATTTAAAGGGTCAGAAGGTTGAGAACCACTGCCTTAGTACATCCCAGCCAAAGGTGACATATGCACAAAAATAGATGGGCAGGAGGTCAAGAACTACTTTAAAAAAAAATGAGTGCAGGGCTAAAATAGTTCGTGAAATGGTCATGTGTATCCTAAAAACACGGTTGGTGTTTGTTTCTGGTTCCCTATTTTCCACTCACCACTAGAGAATCCTGATGCCCTGGCATGTGGAAGGAGATGGTTGGGTGACATCATACCCAGGTTGATAGTATAACAAGCCAATATCCTGGTTGCCTGGATAAGGACCTCCTGCTGTCTCTCCTTCCAGGAAGTGTTGATAAGAGGTTGTATTTTTCCTTCTTGTGCCGTGGTCTGTTGACTGGCTCTCTCTTTAGCTCTCGGGTATTATAGGGCAGAGACCTAGTTTTTCAAATATGTATTTCTTCCGTCAAGATGCTTATTATTGATGAAAAACCATCATTCTTCCAAAAGTTAAGCCTGTGTCACAAGAGGTAAAGGTTTCATCCCGGGAGTGGGGTGGAGATTTTTATCCCGAGTGCACTGGGTGTTCCAGTTTAAAGCCTTTAGATTTGGGGGGTGGAGCTGTGGCAGGATGGGGGGATTTTTTTCCAGCAAAGGTTGGAGGAGCTGTGGCAGGGCTGGCTGGATGATCCATAGTGTTGATCTCTTGCCCTTGAGCCAAAGTCTCTCAACTGTTTGTGCTTCTTGCTGCCAGTTTTCAAAAGGAATGCCGATTTAAAGGAAGATTTTTGAAGTGCATTGTTGGCTTAGTGTAGCATGTGATGACTGGGTCCAGATCAGCTGACCCGAGTTCTTAGCATAGCTCTGCTGCCACCTGTTTCTATGGTCTCAGGCAAAGCATTCCATCATCCCCATGAGCCTTGCTCTCCTCCATCTGAGGAGTGAATATGGTGCCCACCTCCTGCGGTTGCCATGATAATCTGGAGAAAGCCCTGAGCTTTATATACATACTAATCGCTCCATAGGTGGAGCTGCTATTTATATCCAGGAGAACATGTAGAAGATAAAGTGGGATAATGAAGATGCCATAGTAAAGAAATGAATGGGAGGAGGTTAGTAGCCAAATGAGATACATACAAAAAAAATAATGCAAATGTGTATATTTTTAACAAGAAAAGTATCAGGATAAAAGTATAAGAACATCCTAGAGAATAAAATAGAACACTAAATATAACTAAGAATGTACAAAAAAGGAAAGAATGTTAAATATGGCAGCAAAATGGGTCTAAGGCTAGCATCACTATGCTGCCATAAATCTGGTTCTTGGGTCCTCCCTCTACCACACACACACACACACACACACACACACACACACACACACACACATTGGTTGTCAAGGTCACTGTAGAAGGTCCTGAGAATGGATGATGAGCAGAACTTCATTGCCTTTAAATCAGCATTTCCCCCTCCATGTGAAGTGGAATTCTTTTGGGGGGAGGAAGAGGATTCTGGGGACAATGCCATAGAAGTAGTGTTCTTTGGAAAACATTTGGGCAATGCTATTCCCAGCATCTTGTCCTTTGGCTCATGACGAGCTGCTCTACCTTTCACAGCCAAACATGCTGAGTGTGTTCGCTCTGCTGGAGGTTTCTACCCCCAGGTCTCAACATAGCTTCCTCTCCTTCTCCTCATTCAGGTCCCAACTCTGACGTCCCTCCTCAGAGAGGTAGGTCTTCCCTGACCACTCGACCCCATCACTCTCCACCCAAAGCACTATCATTGTTGACATGTGTGAAGTGCTGTGTTTGTTACATTTTCATCATCTGTTTCTCCTATTAGAATGGAAGTTCATTTCACCTGCATGTTGTTGTATTCCTGGCATTTAGAACAGGGTCTGGCACACAGGTACTCCTTTTTAAGAAAGAACACTGAACCTAAGTCTTTCTGTTAAACAGGGTGGAAGATCATGATGACCTCATGCCAATATTTTTGCAACATGACACAATTCTGAGAGCAACTTATGGCGAATACTTTCTGGCTGAACTAATAGAGGCCCAAGACAAGGAGAATCATGCTGTCGTGTGTGAGGTTGGTGATCAATCCACCTAGGGATACGCTTAGTGACAGAAATGGGAGAAATAAGCGTTGCTGTTCCAGGTTTCGCCAGGCACTCCTGGAGCTGTCATACCCTCCTCCTCCTCCATGCCCTTCCAGGTGGCATGCCACGCCAGCTTCCGGGCTGTGGCATCACACCTCTTCCCGTGTTAATTGGCTTTAGGATTTTAGGTTTTTGTGAGGTCCTTCCAGATGCCCAGGCTGCTGTGGATTCTTTGCTCTGTCTCTAGAGGTAGGGGTGAAAATTAGGGTGAGGGGAGAAGATCCTCCAGTAGTATGTAGGGGGGATTTCTTTTCTTCTTTTTTTTTTAGGCGTCTTTTTTTCAAATATACTTTTATTGATTTCAGAGAAGAACGGAGAGGGAGAGAAAGATAGAAACATCAATGATGAGAGAATCATTGACTGGCTGCCTCCTGCACGCCCCCTACTGGGGATCAAGCCTGCAACCTGGGCATGTGCCCTGATGGGGAATTGAACCATGACCTCCTGGTTCATAGGTCGAGGCTCAACCACTGAGGCATGCCAGTTGGGCCGGGGGGAGGGGATTTCTGAGACCCTAAGTTCCCAGAGGCCAGACGTTAGAAACCAGTATCCTACAGGCAGATGCATTTTGTTTGACTTGGAAAATAATTTTTAACTTTTTATTTTAACAATCTTTCACACTTAAAGAAAACTTATAAGTACCCCAATTCCATAAATGTTAACATTTTACCACATTTTCTGTATTATTCTCTTTGCTTGCTCTTTTTCTGTGTCTATCTACGGATACATATATATTGCATATATATTATGTATTTTTTATAAACCATTTAAGCATAAGATACAGACGTAATTCCCCTTCACCACTAAACACTTCAGCGTACATTTCCTCAAAACAAGGATGTTGTCTTCTGTAACTAGCACAGTGGTTGAGTCAAGCTCAATCCTGTTATCTGACCACAGACCTTGCTCAGATTTTACTGATAGTCCCCATGATGCCCTTCAGAGCAGATGGAAATGCAGATCATTCAATGAGCTCACGTGTCACGTGTCTTCAGTCTCTTGTAATCGGGAACAGTGTCCCAGTCTGTCTGTCTGTCATGACAATGACAGTTTTGAAAAGCACAGGTCAGTTATTTGGGGGAATATCTCTCAATTTGAATTTGTCCAGTGTTTTCCCATGATGTGATTTAGGTTATTATGACTAAATTTGTTGTATTAATGGCTAACATTTAAAAATTAGGAAAGTGTCTATAACAATTTGAATGGGTAGCTTTTCTGGAAAAATCACAAGGCCTGCCTGTTGGGTCTGCTCTTCTGCAGGGCCCCAGTGTTTGTAGCTCTGGAGCAGCTCTCACTGCAGGCAGTCCTGGTGCCCGCCAGCCCAGCACTGTCCCCACTGCACCCTGGGGCTTCATGACCCCTCAAGGTGTCTTCCCCACTTTGTACCAGCCTTGCCCTGTGACCCCATCACTTGGGATATGCCTTACAAGTGTCCTGATTCTGCAGTGTCTATCCAGGAGGGCTTTACTGAGAGCAGAGGTAGGGATGGGAATTTAAAAAGATGAAACCCACACCCTCAGCTGTGCCAGCTGTAGACCTAGAAGTCCACACCCAAGGAAAGGGTGAGAAGGACAAAAAAAGAGAACGAACAATATTTGACCTTTATTTTAAAAAGAAAGACTTTGTGCCAGTTTATTGAAAAGCATTCAAAGGTAGGGATTTAGCAGTTTTACTTCTAGGATGATTTGTTTAGGGATTCATTATTCTTCATACACTCACTTCTCATTATTTGACAAAACTGTAAAAACTATTTAAAGAATATTACTTTTCTTAAAAAACATATAATCAAAAGTTCTCTTATTTTGATAATATGATGAATTTGAGGCTTTTGATAATATGATCAGTGATTCTCAAGCGTGGTGTTTACGACAATCACCACAGAAGCTTTTTAGAATACCATGCCAAAGAACTTGTATCTAGCATGTATAAAGAACTACAACAGGAATAAAGAGATAAATAATCCAAGCCAAAATGTGGGCAAAGAATTTGAATAGACATTTCTCTGAAAAAGATAGCCAAAGGCCAATAAGCCTGTGAAATGTTCAACATCATTGGTCAGTAGGAAAATGCAAATCGAAACCACAACAAGATGCCACTTTATACCTGCTAGGATGGTTATAATAAAAGGGGACAGTAACAAGTGTGGGTAAAGATGTGGAGAAATTGTAACCCTCATATATTGCTAGTGGGGTTATAAAATGGTATAGCCACTTTGGAAAACAGTTTGGCATTTTCTCAAAAATTAAATATATCTCTGGCCAGGTGTCTCAGTTGGTTGAGTGTCATCCCAGACACCAAGTTTGCAGGTTCGATTCCTGGTCAGGGCACATACCTTGGTTGCAAGTTTGATCCCTGGTTGAGGTATGTACAGGAGGCAACCAATTGATGTTTCTCTTTCCCTAAAAAAAAACCACAACAAAAAACAAACAAACAGAAACATTCTCAGGTTAGGATTAAAAACAATTTTTAAGTTAAATATAGAAATACTATTTGACCCAGCAGTTCCACCCCTAGAATTAAAAACACACATACACAATAACACGTACAGAATTGTTTGTAGCAGCATTATTCAAAACTAGAGGCCCGGTGCACAAAAATTTGTGCACTCGGTGGTTCCCTCAGCCCAGCCTGTGCCCTCTCGCAGTCTGGGACCCCTCGGGGGATGTCCACCTGCTGGCTTAGGCCCACTCCCTGGGGGATCGGGCCTAAGCTGGCAGTCAGATATCCATCTAGCAGCCCGGGAGCCCTTGGGGGATGTCCACTTGCCAGTGGGGAGTAGGCCTAAGCAGCAGTCGGACATCCTTAGTGCTGCTGAGGAGGCGGGAGAGGCTCCCGCCACCACCGCTGTGCTGGCAGCCATCAGCCGTCAGCCTGGCTTGTGGCTGAGCAGAGCTACCCCTGTGGGAGCGCATTGACCACCAGGGGGCAGCTCCTGCATTGAGCATCTGCCCCCTGGTGGTCAGTGTGTGTCATAGTGACCAATCATTCCCAGTCATTCTGCTGTTAGGGTCAATTTGCATATTACCCTTTTATTATATAGGATAGAGGCCTGGTGCACGGGTGGGGGCTGGCTGATTTGCCCTGAAGGGTGTCCCAGATCAGGGTGGGGGTCCTTCTGGGATGCCTGGCCAGCCTGGGTGAGGGGCTCAGGGCCATTTTCAGGCTGGCCACACCCCCTTCAGGGTGGGGGTCCCCACTCGGGTGCCTGGCCAGTCTCAGTGAGGGGCTGATGGCTGTTTTCAGGCTGGCCAAGCCCCCCAGCGGGGAACCTCACCTCATGGGGGTATGGCCAGCCTGGGTGAGTGGCTGATGGCTGTTTTCAGGCTGGCCACACCCCCTTCAGGGTGGGGGTCCCCACTGGGGTGCCTGGCCAGCCTGGGTGAGGGGCTGATGGCCGTTTTCAGGCTGGCCATGCCCCCCAGTGACCCAAGCTTCCAGCCTCTCCTTTTTTTCTTTTTTTTTTTCTGGGATTTATTTATCTTCTATAATTGAAACTTTGTAGCCTTGAGCGTAGCCCAGGGCCAGCCAGGGCAGGCAGGAAGCTTGGCTTCCTCCATCGCTGGGGGCAACCCAAGCCTCCTGCTCACTCCAGCTCCCTGGCCGCCGCCATTTTAGTTGAATTAATTTGCTTACTCGCTCCTGATTGGCTGGTGGGCATGGCTTGTGGGTGTGGCTTGAGCATAGTGGAGGGATGGTTAATTTGCATGTTTCTCACTTATTATATAGGATAGCCAAAAAGTAGAAATAGCTCAAATGTTCATCTACTGATGAATGGATATACACCCAGAAGTGGGAGTGTTAGGTCATATAGTAACTCTACTTTTAATTTTTTGAGAAACCTCCCTACTGTTTTCTATAGTGGCTGTACCAGTTTACATTCCTACCAACAGCACGCCAGGGTTTCTTTTTCTCCATATTCTTGCCAACAGTTGTTATCCTTTATCTTTTTGATGATAGCTGTTCTAACAGGTGTGAGGTGATATCTCCTTGTAATTTTGATTTGCATTTCTCTGATGACTAATGATGTTGAGCATTTTTTCATGTACCTGATGGCCATTTGTATGTGTTCCTGATCTTAGAGGAAAATCTTTTAACCACTCAGGGTTGAGTATGATGCTCTCTGTGAGCTTGTTATGTATGGCCTTCATTGTGCTGACACGTGTTTCTTCTATACCCCATTTTTTGAGCATTTCTATCATGAAAGGATGTTGCATTTTGTCAAATGATTTATCTGCTTCTATTGATATAATATGATTTTTGTCTTTAATATCTATTAATTAATGTGGTGCAGCACATTTGTTGATGTGTGTATGTTGAACCAGCCAAGGAAATTTTATCCAAGGAAAAATTCTGATTGGTCATGGTATATGATTCTTCTAATGTGCTATTGAATTTGGCTTGCTAATATATTGTTGAGAGTTTTTGCAACTATAGTCATTGTGGATATTGGTCTGTAGTTTTCTTTTCTGGTAGTGTCTGATTTGGGTATAAGGATATTTATTGCTGGACTCATAAAATGAATTTGGGAGTGTACCCTCCCCTTCAGTTTTTTTGAAAGAGTTTAAGAAAGATTGATTTTAATTCTTAAAATATTTAGTAGAAATCATCAGTGAATCTATCTGATCTGGGGCTTTTTGTTGTTGGGAGGTTTTTGATTATTAATTCAATCTCATTTTTTATTGGTCTGTTCATATTTTCTATTGGTCTGTCTAATTTTTTACCATATAATTATTCATAGTAGTCCCTTGTGATCCTTTGTATTTTTGTTACTGGTTATAATATATCCTCTTTCATTTCTGATTTTATTTGAGTCTTCTATTTTCCTTATTCTAGCTAAAGGTTTGTCGATAAAGGTTTATTTATCTTTTTAAAGAACCAGTTCTTAGTTTACTGATCTTTTCTGATCATGTTTCTAGTCTTTATTTCATTG